GCATGACGGAAGTCAAAGCGTGATTTTCCTGAAGCGAACCTAACCCGGCCCACCCGGGTGAAAATCCGCTAAACCACAAGGGAAATACCTGAAATAAAGGGATAGATTTATATTTAATACAACTCTAGAGACAACGTCATTATTCGTGAGGATTACTCGCAGGAGTAGACTGACAATAAATCAGGCGGGTCAAAGATCGCCTGTTACCTGAATACCAGACGACTAATAAATTGCATTACTGTCGGATTTGTTTGTTTATTTCTTTTTTGTAATTGAGTAGCTGCACTTTATGGGGCGCCAAAGTCAATCTAAACATACCGAAAATGATTATGTAATTTTCAGTCGCTTCAAATCAAATGTATACTGTTTCTTAGTGGAAGGTTTTTTCCTTAATGTACAAATTCACAAAAAGAATAAAGAGAGAAGATTTTTTTCTAATCTGTGCATGCGATTTCCGTTCTCCCGCTTGCAAACAAACATGACTAAACAAAAATAATTTTCTCATATATGCTGTATTACTTGTTCATGACCTGTTTTGCGAAGAAACAAGAACCGGTAAAAAACATGGGAGACGTAACAACTTTACGGGCATTTTCATATTTACGCATTTCTGATCGGGACTTGGTAAGGAAAGCAACGTCGAATTGGTTTCTCCTAAGTCTGATAGTTTAGGCCTACTATATCAGCAAAAGAAATCAACAAAGCAACGAGGATAGAGATTTTTACAACGTAATAATTCTAAAGCCGAAATATGTCCAATCTAATTCGATCGGGCCCAAGTTTGGGTTCACATCAAGATAAGGAAAGGACAACAAAACGTCACAAAGCTCGTTTACCAATTCTCCAAAGACTTTCTTACAGCGTTGGACATTTTTTAAACGATGCGGTTGTGACCGCTTGGTCCTCGTACTTGTTGGTTTTTCTTATAAGAGTGGTAGGCATGTCTAACAGAACAGCCGGATTTTTATGGATTGTTTCCAATTCAGCAGATGCTACCTTAGGAGTCTTAATCGGTTATATCTGCGATAGGCTAAATCTACCATTTCTCTCTAAATACTACGGCAAGCGAAAAAGCTTTCACTTACTGGGGACAGTCCTAGTGACCGGATTATTCCCGCTTGTTATGATGCCCTGTTTCGTTTGCGGTGAAGATTCGTCTCAGTGGGAAATAGGACTATATTACGGAACCATCATGTTTGTGCATAACATTGGATGGGCTTTGTCGCAATGCACCCATTTAGCTCTTATACCTGAAATTGCACAACGACCCAGAGAAATGGTGGAGCTACAAGCTTTACGGTAAGTGCCTGACTATTGTCGTTATAAACAAGACTTTGTTTCAGAGCTTATTGGGATCATACGAAACTG